AGCTCTTGTTTTAATCTGTTTCTTTTTACCTATGTTTTGCCTTGGGACTTCTTACCTTTCTTTCATTCCATACGTCTTGCTTTCCTGTTTCTTCCCTGTCTGGCTGACTGGTAGGAGACTACCTGGCTTCTGGCCCCAGGTTTCTCCCTCTTTTTCTCCTTCATTATCTCTTCTGTCTTTTTCTTCCTCCTACTTATTCTCTACACTCACCAACACCATCTATCCCTCCTCTGGCTAGCTATTGAACATTCAGCTTATTAGACCAATCAGTTGCCTTTGACAGGCAAACTAAAACAGCAATATATCTTTATAGAATTAAACGCAGCAGAAACAGAAGCAACACACCTCTCCACAGTTAAGCAAACGCAGCATAAACATAATTGCCTAGTTAAAGCAATATTCCACAACATAAACAAATGTAACACATCTTTACATAAAGTAATAACACAACAGATTCATCCCCCTCGCCTAACGCCCTAAGTTTCTTGTCCTTTCTTTAAAAATAACTCTCTAAATCCAGTATGTGCAAGCCATATGTCGTAGATGTAGGGCCTACACCAGAGCATTATTCACTACCAAAAACCCCGCCCTTACAGAAAGCTGACTTCTCTGGAAGTTATCGACTACTCAAGCCCCTCAGCAGTAGTGGGCCTTGTGAACTGTTCCTCCTCCATTACAGAAAGTTTGCTGGCTTCATCCTGTCCAGGTTTTTTTGTCAGAAACCACAGATAATATGAGTTCATGAGTACAGTGGTCCTATCATGTCCAGAAGACGCTATTTAATCTGGTCGTCCCGAAATTCTGGCTCTTCTAATCTTGCTCCCTCTTTAGCCTTTGGGGAAGAAGTTATGATATAAATATTCCACTTACGGTTGAGCACACTACAGACACTTATTCTCTGCACTTTTACCAGTTGTTAAGTTTCTGCACTAACTGATGTCCACTTGCACAAACTTCTCTGATGAGGTCTGAGTCTTCACTAATCTGAAGGTTTAATGATATGAATTTGCAAGTCAGAAAAACAGAAATTGGAAGATATATTAAAGACAATTTCTCATATCAATGTCAGGAACAAGCATCATGATGTCATCTTACTTATATGCATATTCCTGGTTTTGCTACTGAATAGTTTGACCCACATAATTGATATTTCTAAAGTATGTATTTGCTAAAACAGAAGTAAGGAAAAGCAATTGCATGATTCAAATTTGTCATATCTCTTGAGAATGCATTATTGAAAAGACAAATCCCTTTTATAGTGACAGTCAGTGTAACTGGTGCGCCTTTCCTGGTCTGTTTTTTACAGCTCTAAGCAGATACCTGATAGTTACTGTTTCTGTAGTCACATTGCCAATTTCACTTCAGGTTGTCCAGCTTCTTTACCACTATATCTACTTGTCATTATGAAACCTACAAATTATATTTTACAGCCAAGTGCCCACCTTAATATCATTTTCCTATGACAACATGACCAACCACCCTTGAAGAAGACAGAAACATATTAGATTCATAGTTTCCATCTCAAACTGTTTCTCTACTGAAGCAACAAAGTCAAATACACAGGGACACTGGTCTGTACTCAAGATGAAATCACTCAGACTTACTTTTAATCATAAAATATTCTCTACTTCGGCAAAACTCCAAGTCTGGCATTGTCCATTTGAAACATGTAAGAAAGTTTAGGACATTCTTTATATAGGGCACTATTCATATTTTTTAGAGTATGAACTGTACTTTTTCACGGTAAAAATGTTCCACCTTGGGTACATTCTTAGTAGCAAATCAATATGTAACTTTAAACCTTGTCTACCTCATGAAGAGAAGGGATGAAGATGCCTCCCTACAGTGTACGCTGAGTGTCTGCTTTGTCACAGAAAAGGACTTGGCTCAGAAAGTGTTGTGATCTCTCTATAACATCTTTAGACATGTATCTTCAGACAGCTGCTCTCTTAAGGCCGTCGGCTCCCTAGTGTCAGTGGCTGACACTCTGTAAGATCTTTTCTTCCAAGATTTTGTCCCTTTCTGTTTCCTGTGGTTTGATGAGTCTTCAATGTTTTAAAATCTAGACAGCATAAGCTTTAGCTGATTGTAGTTCTTTGCTAATAATCTAGAAATAGCTGTTTTCCTGTGTAGTGACCAAGACCATGCTTGCAGTACTTCTGCATGCTTTAACACTAATGTTTGTCTTAAATGGATGTTTTTGAAAATTGACAGTTTTGACTGCAATAACATGGAAACCACCAGCTGACTGTGTAAGAATGAGAAAGCGGGGTAGGCCTGGGCTTGAAGAGAGTACAAAGAGGCTCGGATAATCACAGCAGAGAAGGACATAGTGAACCAGAAAGAGATACGGAATTGGCTGCTGACTGGCAGTAGAGTTAGCTGAGGCGAAGAAGCAGGAATCTGTTGAGCAGACTTCGTTCAAGTGTATGCATTTTCCCATCTAAGTGCCTTTACCAAGTATGCCCTATGGATGCCTGTGGCCCTGGCTAGTCATGAGATATCCAGAACATTAAATAATCTTGCCTTTCTTACTCCATGTTGGATCATTCAAATGCACCCAATATGACAAATGTCTCCTGTGCTATTAGTTTTCTGTTAACTTGACCTTTAACAACAGTCATCTGGAAAGAGGGAGCCTCAGTTGAGAAAATAACTCATCAGATTTTGCCTGTGGAAAAATCTATGGAGCATTTTCTTTATTAATGGTTGATGTCTGAGTGTCCAGACCACCGAGGGTGATGCTGTCCTTGGTCTGATGGCCCTGAATCATATAAGAAAGCAGGTTGAGCAAGCCATGGAAAGCAACTCAGTTATCAATGTTTCTGCATGGCCTCTGCTTCAGTTCCTGTGTCAAGGTTCCAGTGTTGAGTTAGTTTTGGCTTCCTTGATGATGCACTATAAACTTTAAACCAAATATACCACTTACCCCAGCTTACTTTTGATTATGACCTTCATCACAGAAACTAGGATATCTCCTTGCTGATTTTGTTTACAATTCTTTTAGTTCATTATTTTTCTTTACCTTTGTAGAAAGCATCCCAAAGGAAATTTGAATTAATGCATACATTGTAGGGTAGATACAGTGAACACATTTCAAATTGTACAAATTCTATGCAAATGTCATATGTAAAGAAACTCATCAATGGATAAGAACAAAAGTTGACTATGATAAAAAGAAGTGAGAGATGGGGCGGAGTGCTGATATGGAATTCAATGCTCACTCAGACAGAAAAACGTTAAGAACAGGCAAGATAACAAGTCTAAGCTCATATTCTATGTAAAGTCAGAGCGCTGTCAATAACACAATCAAACGGAGTAGAAAAATATGTATCAACAATTCAGGACATCCATTGATTGTGTTTCATCTTGGCTTGAGCTCAGTATGTTAGTGGAACCATCTTTTGAATTTGTACCACACATAATGATTTGAAAATGTAGAATCAGAGAAATAATTGTGAAAATGGCCACATGCAAAGGCATACTATCTTGTGAGAGGTGATATCTTAAGGGATACTTCCTGAAATTTTTTCAAAATTGAAGATCAGTCCTCAAAGTCAGAAAGTTTGCTTTTAATTTATTTTCTGAAAATGTGCCTACATATGAAGAAGAGACCTGTAGAAACTCCTCAGGTGAAAAGGGTCCAGGAAGAAAACATTTAAAGCTCTTTGGGGATGCTAGATGGACAGGTGATACTTGCATCACATCTTAAGAGTTCAGGAGAATGGATCAGGCAGTTGGGTAGTGGTGGAAAATGGAAGCAAAAAAATGGTGTAAAATAAATGAGTAAATTTAATTAATAATAAAAACAGCAGATGCCCCTCTGGACAGATTAGAAGCTAAATATATCTCTTCAATAAGTTTAAGAGCTAAATATCATGCATTCCTTAACAGAGAAGTCGAGTAAATTGAGGTTTAAATTAAGGGTAGAGATATGGATTGAATCCACTGGCTTGATTTTTTGGAGGGGGGTTTAGGAGCTAATGGTCAATAAATTACCTCCACTTAATTATTTTCTTTAGAAATTGTTGATTTTGTGAAAATGCTTTGATTTCTTAAAAATAAAGCAAAAAGAAATTTAAAAGAAAAAAGAGTTCCAGAGTCATCTATCCAAGTACAGGACCCTGAAATCAGAACTGTGTCTGTCCCTGAATGATACATTATCATTATCTCCATCTTGTCTCCTTCAGCATTCTCCTGTGCTCACTGGAATTTGTGTGTTCCACCTAGGGAGGAGACCTCGCAGTTCCCGCTAAGTGTCAACCCATACATAATCATAAAATTTCATTCATTGGTATTCCTTTGTTCTATTTCACTCCTCTGATATTTATACTTTTGGATGAGTAAATTATTTGAACCAGAATTATTTTGTTTCTGTGCTAATAATGTACTCTCTTGAGAAATACATATGAACAGTTGGTTCATACCACTATTGGTCTCTCTGAGGAAATTAGAATACTCCATCTTTCCAAAAGGGTAGAGAAAATTATTTGTAATTAATAAAGTACAAATGAAATAATAGTTTCACTTTTACAATGTATTTTAATGTAGTTTATGAGTTCTTCTGGTTACAATGTTCCACTTGTATAAGTCAAATGACATTGTTTGCCCTTCACATTTCTATAAGAAATTATGCTGTAGTAGCCAATTAATTTTCATTTTGTGCATGCATGGCATACAAGTGGAGGTCAAATGACAGCCTGTATTGTCATTACTCTCCTTTCATAAAGTATGTCCTGGGAATCAAATTCAACCCATCAGGTCTGGCAGTAAGCTGCTTTATCCAGTGGTCCATCTCACCAGCCCTGGTTAAATTTGTATTTGATAAGAACTTACTGCATGACTAGAATGTGTTTAGGTCAAATCCACACCCACTTCCTCCCCTCCAATTCTTTTTATACTGTCATCACCCCTTGACTCTAACTTCATGTATTCCTTTAACATTTAATTAATGTGTTAATAAAGTTAAATTGATTTTCTCTCATTCCTTGTATTAATAGATTGTGAGTGTTGGGAAGCATGTCAAAGGCTACCATTATATCATCGCAAATTTGGTAAGAAATCTTGTTTCTACTTTTACTAAGAACTGAAGTATTGAGGATTGTGTCTTAAAATAATGCTCTAATCAATGGTTAAACTACATTATTTATTGTACTTTGGGTTATGTTATTACAATAATCACCATATCTTAATGATTAAAAATAATAATGTTTTAATTCAGTATGCATTTTATGCAAATTATATTGAATCTGCCAGGGAGACATTTAAAAGTAATTATAATGTTTGCTTTACCATAATATCACTTGTCAAATTAAATACTGGTTTTTTGTCTGTCTTAATGATAAACACTAGTCTACATATATTCTCCACTTTTAAGAAAAATCAAGATATAATGGCTAATTGCATAAATATTTCAAATAGGAACAATAGGTTTTTAAACTGTACCAACCTTTCAACTCAAATAGAGATGGATAATAAACAACATTGAATGAACTGCTTGCATGCCCCAGACAAGTCTTTGTAGAGTATCAAACAAGTGGTGAACCCAGCAGCCTGGGGAAATTGGCTGTGGAAGGTCACCTCCTTCATTTTATTATAGGGAAGTTTGATCTTTGTCTTATTTAGGGTCCTATTGCTGTGAAGAGACACTACGACTGCGGCAACTCTTATAAAGGAAAACAAATTAATTGAGGTTGGCTTACAATTCAGAGGTTTAGTCCATCATCATCGTGGTGGGAAGCATGGTGACATACAGGCAGACATGGTGCTGGAGAGGTAGCTGAGAGTTTTACATCTGGATCTAATGACACACTGAGCAAGCTTTAGCTTCTGAGACCTCAAAGCCCATCCCCTAGTGACACACTCCCTCCAACAAGGCCCTTTGTATTGAAACCACCACAATCTTAGACCTTGATCCCCAATGTGGCTTATCCTAGGGAAGGCAATGGGACTCCCATGTTTCTTCTATCATTTCCTGTCACATATTTCTTTCTGTATGTTTAGTGTGCTATTACATGTTCAGAGAGAGATTCATCCGCAGGTTGAGTGTGCCATCACATGTTCAGAAAAAGAAATCCAATTTTTGGTTACCTGAATTTCAGCACATAGTTGAGACAATATACTATAGCAATGGATTATGAAAATTATTATACTGTATATCTTGAGCAGAATAAAGTGTTGGGACACAATGGGTTATTATAGCAATGTCAAAAAATTTGTCTTGCTTTTCTATTTATTTTAGTAGGCCCACAGTTCATATGTCTCATCTGTTTGATAAAGTACAAATATTTAAGCAAATATATTTTGTCGTTAATCAGTGTAGCACAAAATCATATGCTCAGGTGTATCTCTATTCTCACTGACATTATATAATGAGTTTCTAATTAATTTCATTACTACAAGTGGACAGTTTTGACATCTATTCTTTCTAAACAATGTATTTAGAAAGAAAAATCAATATGTTATAAACTATCATAGAAATGAGTGGGTTATATTGGCAGCAATAATATATAAGACAATGAAAAATGGAAAGAATTGATATTTATAGCCCACTAATGGATCTCAGAGCCTGCCTTAAACAGCCTTAGTGGGTGGCAGCATATTTACAATAAAATATCAATATATGAAATAGAAAACTGTTTGTTTCCTTGAAACAGAAGCATAACACTCACAAAAAATAGCAAGCTTTTATCATAATTAGAGCAGTGATATGCACCCAGCTATGCTATAATATGCAGCATTTATTGTGGATTCTCTTGGCATTCTTTCATCCCTATAGAATTAACTAGTTTTATGGTATCTCTCATCGCACTCTCCTCTATTCTTACCCAGACTCAATCTCCCTGCTCCCCCATGTCTTCCTCTCCCCTCCTCTTCTCTCCCTCTCTTTTTCCCCAGTTCCCTCTCCCTTCCCCATGCTCCCAATCTGCTCAGGAGATCTTGGTTCATTCCACTTCTCTGGGGTATCATGCATATCTCTCTTGGGAACCTCTCTTGGGCACTCCCCTGATCCATGCCTAAAATCCGTATATGAGTGAGTACATGCCATGTTTGTCTTTTTGTGACTGGGTTACCTCACTCAGGTTTGTTTCTTCTACTGCCATCCATTTGCCTGCAAATTTCAAGATTCCATTTTTTTCCCACTGAGTCATACTCCATTGTGTAAATGTACCATATTTTCTCGATCCACTCTTCAATTGTGGGGCATAGAGGGTGTCATTATAGGTTTGAGGAGAAAGCTGACACTAGTGAGATTTCCAGAAATCTACAAGAATGACATCAACTGGCAAACTAAGCAATAGCAGAGAGACTACCTTAATAGCCCCACCCTGATAATGAGATTGAGGACTACCTTATATCCCATCCTAGAACCTTCAAACAGTGACTGATGGAAGCAAAGGCAGATACCCAAAGCTAAACACTGAACTGAACTCCTGGAACCCAGTGACAGAGAGGGAGGAGCAATGAACAAAGGGGTCAAGACCATGCTGATGAAACCCACAAAGAGAGCTGACCTGACAAGCAGGAGCTCTTGGACCCCAGACTGATGGCTGAGAGACCAGCAGGTGACTGATCTAGACCCCCTGAATGTAGCATCAATGAGGAGGCCTCAGCAATCTCTGGGGCCTTGGATAGCAGATCAGTGTTTACCATGGCATACATAGGGACTTTGGGAACTCATTCCTCATGGAGGGATGCTCTCTCAGCTTGGATACATCAGGGAGGGCCTAGGCCCTGCCCCAGATGAAATGACAGATTCTAGAGATCCCCCAATGGAAGGCCTTACCATCCCCAGGGAATGGTATGGGGATTGGGTGGGAGGCTGGGGGCTGGTGGAGGGGCAAGGGAGGAGGGGTGGGAGGGGGAGCTGGGATTGACATGTGAAGCAAGTATATTTCTAATTTAAATTTTAAAAATTATAATGGAAAAAAAGAATGAACTAGTTTTGGTTCTTGTAGTCAATCCACAACCATTTTTTATGAACTATATATGAAGGATTCTCAAATGCAAAATTTGTTTAGAATCCAAGTAATATTTTGAATTAACATTATAATTTAATGTTATAGCCTGAAATTAGAGATAAGATAGGGGACTAGAGATGTAGTTCAGTTAAGAGAGATCTTGTCTAGACTGCACAGAGAGCCCTGGGTTCCATCATGAACACTGCATAAACTCAAGGTGTCAGTGTAGGCCTAAAATCCTAGAACTCAGGGGAATAATCAAAAGGTTCAGAAGTTCAAGGTCACCCTGGGCTGCACAGCAAGGTGGAGATGAAATTAAATTAAACTAAAAAAGAATAGGAATAAGATAGGGATGTGTTAGTATGCTAATTTTACTAAACATTATAATATGCATCTTATCAAGAGTAGTTAGGCAAAAAGGAAATAAAAGTTATCCAAAATGAGAAAAGATGTTTTTCATATAGCAATATCATAAGGATTTTTTAAATAATTATGAGCTAATACATGAGTTCAATGTGTATTAAGGTTAATAAGTAAACATCTGTTGTATTTTTATGATAACAAGCCTTGAGAAATAACTTTTTAAACAATTAAATTTATTTAATTATAGCTTACAATTAATAGGCGAGTCATTGAAGCTTACTACCCTTATTACCAGGTGGCTACATATATTCCAGATTCATTTTAGCATAATGATTTAGTTACAGTTTCAAAATTAAAGCAGTAGATATAGTGTAAAACCTATATTTACCAAAAAGGGAATAAAGATAAATAAATAGCAATATGTGGGAAACTACCATGAATTCATAACCATTATTTTTTGTGAAAATCAAGGATACCGTTTATTTAAACAAGGTTAACAACCTAGAGAATCTAGATGAAACATGGTATTTTAAATGTTAGTCCTTTGACAGGGTGTGATAGTGACAAGGTGTGATAGTTCATATCTATAATCCCAGCACTTGGAGTGTTGGTGCAGGAGGACAGTAACTGCAAGGCCACCTGAGCTGTCTAAGCTCAGTGTGAGCTTGGAAGACTTAATAAGATTCACTAAACGAAAAGTTAAGGGAGAGCCACGTATCATACCTTACACCAGCAATCCCAGAACTCAATAGACCGAGGCCTGAAGATTTCATGAATATAAGACCTGTGTGGGTTCATAATAAGTTCTAGGCACACTAGACCTTTCTCTAAAAAAATCAATACAAGCAAGCAAGCAACCATAAATGAACTGAATAAACCAAGAACCAAAGCAGAGAATCACACAAAAACCCTACATTCTTCATATGATTGACTGAAAGGAAAGCAGGTTCTGTTTATTTTTATTTATTTATATTAGAAACAAGCTTGTTTCACATGTCAATCCCAGTTCCCTCTGCCTCCCCTCCTCCCATGCTTCCATGGACCCCTTATCCCATGCCCTTTCTTCTCCCCAGGGAGGGGAGGCCTTCCAGTGGGAAATCTTCAAAGTCATTTGGAGCAGGGCCTATACCCTCCCCTGTGTGTCTAGGCTGAGAGAGTATCCCTCCATAGGGATTGGGCTCCCAAAGTCCATTCTTATACTAGGGATAAATACTGATCCACTAACAGAGGCCCCATAGATCGCCCAGACCTCCTAACTGACACCCACGTTCAGTGAGTCTGAAACAGTCCTATTCTGGTTTCCCAGCTATCAGTCTGGGGTTCATGAAGTCCCCCTTGTTCAAGTCAGCTGTTTCTGTGGCTTTCTCCAGCCTGGTCTTGACCCCTTGGTTCATCACTTCTCCCTCTCTGCAACTGGATTCCAGAGTTCAGCTCAGTGTTTACTTGTGGGTGTCTGCTTCTGCTTCCATAAGATGTTGGATGAAGGCTATAGGATGGCATATCCTCTATTCTTCCCCTGACTCAATCTTCCTGCTCCCTCATGTCCTTCTCTCCCCTCCTCTTCTCCCCTTCTCTTTCTCCTAACTCCCTCTCCCCTGCAACCATGCTCTCAATTAGCACAGGACATCTTGTCCTTTTCTTCTTCTCCTGGGGGATCATGTATGTCTCTCTTAGGGTCCTTGATGTTTCCTAGATTCTATGTCAGTGTGGATTGTAGGCTAATAATCCTT